TCCTGCTCCGTCTGACAACTGCAGAAGTGAAATGAATGCATGAATGTAGAAATAGTGATGACAAAGCAATTCTTTTTCAGATCATTGAGGAATAATTGAAGTTGCAGCATGCTGTATCATTTAATCTGAAGCCAGTATAGGACAAAAAAAAAACAAAAAAAAAAAAACAGACAGCACTGCATGTGCAAAGGTTTACAATTATTTTAGTTTTCTTACATTTCTTGTACAGAAGATGGAAAGAATTTTACGAGATGCATCAAGCGCAAATCATATACCAAGTTTTCAAATTGCAGGGTTTTTTAAATCACCTTGGTGGATCTAAAAGTTATTTGTGTCAAACAGTTTAATGTTTTTTGTAGATTCAAAAGTAAAACTAAAAAAACCGGACCTGCCATTTTGTGACAGTCTGGCCATAATAAAGTTCCTGAAGATTAAACCTAAAGTTGTTCCTCGGTTAACTTGAATGTTATATTTAACTCAGAGCAAGTGCTCAGCCTTTTATGTTGGGATGATTAATAAATCTTGCAGCATAAAAGAGGAAATAAATTTTGCTAAGTCAGAGTCCAGATAAGGATTTAAGTGTAAAAGCAAAAGTCCTACCAGGGACATATAGTTTATGAACTTATGTTAGAGTTAAGCATATGCAATTAGGTTTAGGATAAGGTTCAGGGTTAGGCTATAGAAATGAATAAAGAGCGAATGGATGATAGACAGTAATGATATATTATAAAGTTTCAGATTATATTAGGCTACACAAACACTTAAAATAGGGGAGGGGAAGAAACATTTGTTACTCTGTCTGCCAGAAATGTTGGTATTGCTGATAAGCTTTGTTGTAAAGATGCTTTCCACTATCAGTACATTTGGTGTGGAGAGGGAGGTAGAGTGTACAGCCCGACCTGTTGGGGGTGAATGCAGTCCAGATTGATGGTTGTCTCTGGCTCTGCCTCTGTCCTGCCTCACTCAGAGGGGTTGACTTATCCTGAGCTGCACTGAGCCTGTAGTTATGCTTCACTCTCAGCCTCACAGTCGGCCACAGTTTGTCATCATTTCGCACTTTCCCAATCAGACGCCACCTCAGAATCCACCGCTGTTCACATATGTAGGAAAACAACTAGGAGACACCACGAAACTGCAAGTCACCATTCACATGCCAAAAGAATCTGTTCCTCATTTCTAGCTTCCTTTTTCCAAACAATCCTTCTAACCACGGCGGTCAAACATTGTGGTAAACACACTGTCCTGTTCGGTAACACACAGACAAAAAAAATAAAGCATACACGTTTAGGTATTTGCTTATTGGATCAAAAGAGAAGCTTTAGGAATCGGAGCAAACAGTTTTAAGTTTATTTGATGACGAACATGCCGTTGAAATATGAAGATTCTTTCACAAACAAACACGCAGCTTCATTCCTAAGGCTTTGCTAGATATCGTCTCTAAGTCCACCCTGACTGAGTTTGGGTGGACTTAGGAAAGTCTTCATCTAAAGTATGAAGACAAGAATGGGTAAAACTGTGAATTCTTCAGAGCCTGTTGAGACTAAAGTGTCTGGCATGGTCGGAGCGAAGTCAGACTGTGGACACACGGTCACATGTGTTTTTTTTGGATGTTCGTTTTTGCCCTTCATGGTGTTCAAGACACACCGAGCCAAACCTCTCCCACTGAGTTATACGTCATGGTGTATGTGGTTTACAACATAAATACTGCGATCATTCATGGCGGAGAGGATCAGCTATTACGAGTTTGGAGGTGGAAGAAATATTGATGGATGAGCTCCAAAATCAGATTTTGTTTTCTACATTATGAGAACGGTAGGCGTCGGTGAGACGTTCTTCCGCTGCGTCGGACCAAAACCGAATTTAATGTTTTGGTACATACTTCCTCATGGCCTCGGATAATTGCTCCTCAAAAATATCCATCTTGTTCTGTGGCTGAAAAACGAGCATCTGGAAGTTGAGTAATTGGGTATACTTTCCCAAAAGGTCTAAGCGATGAATAAGATGTTTTTAGCTTAGAAATCTTTTTGGTCAGCGTTATTTTTTTTTTCCCTGTCAGAATCGTCCTTTAAATACTGTTTTCTCATGAATTGACCTTAAATAAAATATAAAAGCATTAATAAAAGTATTGTTGTTCAACCCAGGGACGGACTGGAAATAACAAAAGTATCGCAGCAGACCTACTCAAAAACATCTAGTTGTTCACTTTATTATAAACGTACAGGATTGGAAGTGTCCATGCTGTGAAATGGCCAATATAAGGCTGAACTGATGCATTTGACTTGGTTTTGACTGTATGACTATGACTTTATCCAAGTATCTCTTGCAGTAAACATGCTCATCATGGAGTTGACATATTAAGTAGTGTGATCAGGACTAGATCAGCACTGGGTTGTTGGTTGTTACCTTTGAGACGATAAAATGTCAGAATCCTGTTTATTGCACGGAACAGAAGCTGTGATGTTTTAATAACACGCCTAATTCTTTGTTGTTTTGCAACAACATGTTTTTGTATGACAGGATGGATCTGCCTCATTTCTCAGTGTTGTTGTTGTTGATGAGGTTTTTTTTTTTTTTTTCAGTTTTCTTTACCAACAACCTCCCTCTTTATGTTTGACTTTGCTGAAAGATGTTTCAAAAGTATTTCTGAGGAAACTTTACAGTTTAAATGTTATAATTAAGGAACATGTCTGGTAAGTTAAACTGGATCAGCATTCATTGCACTATAAAGCTTGACCACTTCTGACTGTGACTTACTAATGGTGTTTTCATTTGCATAACATCACCAAATGACGTAGAAAATAGGACCGTACCAAGCTGCATGTCAGCAACATGTAATGTAACTGTTATATGATTGTAACCGCTTTGACCTGGTGGAGAAACTCCTGATGTTTCTCACTGGGTAGCCATCGTAGGCTCAGGGAACTCCCTTTGCATGAGAACAGACTCTTCCAGACACTGGACTTATTTTCACAGGCTTTGTTGGTTTATGTGAACCGATTTTAATATTCCTCCATAAAGTCTTGTTATATTTGATTACTGTCCTTTCTTATGCTGACTGACTGTAATCACAACCAGATGTTTTAATGACAGCAGAGGATAAGAAGGGATGCTGAGACTAAAGCAGCTATTTGAATTTCAAGTCGCTAACTCTGTGTGTAGTCTGACCTAAATCAGAACCAGCTGACTTTGATGAATGGATACATTGAGTCATTTTGTTATGTTTCAGCTTTGTACTAAATTCATTTATTTTTCTTCAATGTTTCACTCTTTGCATATATCCGGTGTTTGCATGAAGAACACAAGTCTGAATTAGGTGAAACTAACTAACATACTAAAAATTCCTCATGAAGTCAATCTGGTTTATCATGCTGGAGTGTGTGGCATGATTGCATTATTTTGTTAATTCTATTTTTATGTTTTTAATCTTTTATCTTCAGTAGGTTTAGTTTTCATTATTTTACTCTCTTCCCTGTAGCTTTAGTTGTGTAGTGAGTTTTTGTTTTAATTAAAATTTCAAATCCCATTGGAACTCTTTTGCTAATAAACTCTTGTATAATCCAGATAAGTTGTCTGTTCCATACACATGTGTAGGATATTTGCTACTCAGTATAAGACACCAGTGCTAGACTTATGCTGTCCTTTATTGTTTTGAAAGACATCCCTTATCAGGCAAGTATTTATAAATAGTAACTGAGAATAAACAATTTGGCGCCCTAACTTGGTCATTTTGATCTAAATTACTAGTTTAATTATCAATTGTCTTAAAAGATAATAAGTATTCATAGCCAGACTCCTTCAGCAAAACAGTCCGGTATTATCTGAAGGTACAGACTACACAGTACATGCATGTCATTGATTTATTTATTTTTTCCATTTTAGTGGAAATTTGTGCATCATCCTCTAGTTTGGACTGCGACTCACAGACTTCCCGGACTGGAAGCTGTGGAAGTGTCGCTTGAAACTGCAGCCGCCTCAAGTCCAAACAGAGGCTTCCTCTTTTCCACCTTTGGTCGGGTCGTGCCGCTCCACGCGCTACGCACCAACACTGTTTAGCCTGGAGATACTTAAAGGTTTGACATCCTGGACAGGCTACCAGCTCATTTCAGCACAACTCGAACACAAACAGGACAAACCACCATGCACACTCATACTCACATCTTAGGAGAATTTAGAGACCAACTAACTTAACATTCATGTTTTTTGCTCTGTGGGAGGAAGCCAGAGCACCCTGTGAGAACCCCACGCTTCCACAGGGAGAACATGCAAACTACCTGCTGAAAGACCCCCAGGCTGGGATTTGAACCTTGGAATCTGTTGCTGCAAATCAACAGCGCTACCAGCTGCACCACTGTGCAGCTTTTGTTTTTTTCTTGTGTGTATGTGTGTGTGTGTGTGCATTTCCAGCAAATTAAATACTAAACAGAATGGGTCTGGAAGAATAGGATGTCTAGGAGACGGGTGTGGTGCTGGCATCTTATTTCCCGTCACACGTTACGGTGGTCTGGATCACATTTAAAACACATGTCCCTGCTCCTGGAGCGGCTCAGTAAGTCTAGACTTGACAAATGATAGAAATGAAATCTATAAGTTAATAGATATATCACATATATCTTGGTGCTGTAAGACCAGCAGCTCTTGAGACTTTGTCAAAACTAAATTTTGTAGCTACTATCACGCAGGGTTGTTTTCCCATAAAAATTAAGGCCATCTAAGGCAGCAAAGCCGTACAGTTGGAAGCCCTGAAATACACTAGTAGTAAAGAGCTTTTTTACCCAGCAGGTCTAGCAGCCTCATTATCTGACTGGAAACCTCAACTTCTCCATCAAAGCTTTAGCAGGAACGTCCTGGTTGAAAGCCCATCTCTCCTTTAGGCTTATAGCTGACTAGGTTGCTGCAACAGGTTGGCTCAAACACACACATACACACACACACACACACACACACACACACACACTCTACATTCAGCTGGAAGATCAAGAGTTTTTTGTTTTTTTTGACGCAGATGAGTTGTGAAAAGACAAAGTGTGTGGTCTGAGACTCTCAGCTGATCCAGCATTTGGAGAGGCAGCAAACTCTCAGAGCTTTTACAGCCCTGCTCACAGAAAACAAGGAGAGAGTCAACCGTGGATGATGAAGAAGAAGATGACATGCAGTCTGGGCTGGATCTTTTTCTTGCTGTTGGAGCTCGGTTGGATAAACATGAGCTCCAGCATGCACAGGGAAGGTGGCAACAGGGTAAGTTCATTTATGAAACTTTGCACTGATGCATGTTTAGTCCTAACAGCAACCATGCTCATCTACTCAGCTTTAACAAGAATACCAGTTAGAAATATGTTAGGCATTTGGCTTCATTGGTACTTATTACAAACTATGCAGGCATATATTCAGGTAAACTCTTTCAATTTGAGTTGTTTCTTTATGCACAAACTTTATAGTGACTCTGATACTCAGTCGCAGTCACAACCCACAATTTCAGCTTATACTGGAGAGGAAATACACCAAACATTTTGATTATTTCATGTTTCTCCACCCCCTGTTTGAAGACCTGCAGATCATATTTTTAGTCTAGGAAGGTTTTATTTTCATTTGAAGTGCTTTCCAGTTTCCTTCTCACGTCGTTTAGATGCTTGACCACTTAAAATGTAGACCACTTAGAGCTGAAAAAAACATTACTTTCACAAAAAAAAAAAAACAATTTATGATATAGCATCTGAGTGGCTGCTTAGTTACACTTAAGCAACTTTAGATTCTATCAAATGGGGGATCTGAGTGGCTCTGGTTCTGTTTAATTCTGGTTTGGCCAGGATGGGAACTCTGGCTCCCTGTGGTAGTATAACATGAGGGTTTATGGTTTTTCTCACACCCTTGAACCCAGGCTTTAAAACTCCTTCTGGAGGAGTGCCAGCAAGAATGTTACGGCCAGCTGAAAACATTTTGTTACTGTTTGTACATTCAGCACGTGTCTTGGCATTTTAATTGTTTTAGCATTTGTAAATACTATTGGTGATGTTATGTGTTTAACATAAAAGGTGCTACACACCGACAATTAGAAAGTGTTGTTAAATCGATACCAATTACAGCCAGATTTAGTGTAAAAACACCTGCATGCAGGTGGTGGCTTGACATGGAAGTGACAAAATGTAAGACGAGACTAACATATTTATTGGTCTAAAAATAGTTGCAAAGCAGTTTTTGAATCTTTAGGATTGTGAAGTGAACGCCAGGTGAGAGTCAATGATATCCCCCCAAATGGAGAAAACATGGAGCGGTAGTGAACCCCCTGCCCTGGCATGGTCTGCCTGCCAGAGACACTCTGAGTTTTTTCTGAGATTTATGTGGACAAAATAATGCTTTGCACAGAAGGATTTTCACATATAATTTAAACTGAGATGCTCAGCAGGACATCACTTCGCAGCAGGTTATGAGATCAGCGTCTGTTACCATAGCGACGTAGCTGGGCTTCAAAAGATCCAGCTTCATAATACAAAACAATAAGCTTTAGCTCAGCTATATGTCACTTTGTAGTACACAACTTTCTCATGTTCATTTGATGCTGAATATTTAAAGCCGTCGTATTAATTTGTTCCTCCAGTGTGTGACTCATATACTTCCTGCTAGGAATGCATATTGAAAATGAAATTAAAAGCATTCACAGATTGTAGTTTTCATACTAATTGTCTATTTATTGTGTATAAAATTTAAATGCTGAATCCATAGCCACACTTAATAAAGATATCTGTATCGTGCTAATTTGAATGTTTGCTTTTTTTTTCCATTGAGAAATTATGCCTATCTCTAAAAATGTTCCAGTTTTCATGAATAACTTTCAAATCAATCACAACTACACCCCGGTTAATAGGATTGTTTCAGTGTTTCTGTGTGTTTTCTTGAACTCAGCGGGCAAGGAGACAGTGGGAGAAGCAGGTCCGCTCGTCCTCCAGTCTGGACGAGCTGCTGCGACTCACAGACTTCCCGGACTGGAAGCTGTGGAAGTGCCGCTTGAAGCTGCAGCCGCTCCAGGTCCAAACAGAGGCTTCCTCTTTTCCCCCTTCGGTCGGGTCGCACCGCTCCACACGCTACGCAACGATACCGTATAGCCTAGAGATACTTAAAGGTTGGATCGTGTGCAAATCACCGGATGCGGGTTTGCAATACTATTCGTCATTGCTTTCCCTCTTTAGCCGTAGAAGAAGAGTGGCAGAGTATTCAGTGTATGCCCAGGGAGACGTGCATCGATGTGGCCCAGGAGTTGGACTCTCATACCTCAGTTTTCTTCAAGCCTCCCTGCGTATCTGTTCACAGGTGAGTTCTGCGTACAAGTTCGTGTAATCCAACTTTTAATCATATTTATTGTGAAAAAAGAAAAATCCCTAACGCCACAGCATCACATCAGTCGTTGATAAGCTCTGATTGTCTTTTTTTTATTTTTTTATTTTTTTATTTTTTTTTGCTGACAGGTGTGGTGGCTGCTGCAACGACGAGGGCCTAACTTGCAGGAATACGTCTACTGTGTACGTGAATAAAACGGTGAGTAGCTCACAATGCGACTGAGTTTTGAAGGAGTAGAAGTAGTTTTCAGTAGTTGTTGAATTTAACAACTCTGTCTGTGATTGTGTCTTTTAGATTTTCAGCTTAACGCCTTTTAATCTTGTACCAGAACCCGTGCTGATAAAAGTAGCGAACCACACCGCATGCAGATGCATGGAGCCGGCAATAATTCGACGTAACGCTCAGCTACGCAGGCGCAGTGGGTGGGTAGAGAAAGTCTCAAAAACGCTTTGCTCTCTCTCACCTTTGTTGGAGTTCATGTTTTCCCCCATGTGGTTTATTATCAGCTGCCCTCTGATGAGAGAGATGTTGGAAGCAAAGGACTCTGGGAGACTTTGTGCTAGTGGATGGATTTGGGATTGTTCAAGTGAAAAATGCATACCTTACCCCTCCAGTACATCAGGTTTGTTTTTGGTGAAATATTTCTCAATCTTTTGACATGTTCCCAAATTAAAGAGTCATGTTTTTTTGTTGTTGTTGTTTTTAAGGGAAAGGTTTACCATGCAGGAATATCTCCCTAGAAAATGTTGAGTTTTGAATGTTATCACTACCACTGCTGCATCAATAATATCTTTTGTGCAGAGCTTCCCCTCAGGTCCTGGTTGTCGGACTGTGAGATCGACGTGGAGCGCTGCGAATGTCTGCCCAGACCTCAGCCAATTGTGTGGGCACCCACAGGAATTTGATAAAGACTTATTCAGGTAGAAATCGTAGTGAATTTGATCTAAAACTCCCTTGTGTTTTTCCAAATCTTTACTCCTTCAACTACATTATGCATTGTCAAAGTAAAAACAAATCATTACAGAAAAAGAAACAAATTTATGCAATTGAACTGTTGTAGGATCAGACCTACAAAATCTGATCCTACAAAATCACTATTATGTATAACAGCCTTTTTTTGTTTTTTGTTTTGCTTTGATTAGTTTAACCTGCCCGAAAGACATTTTTTTTAATTGTGTGAAATACTTTGCACTCATGTTGTGGTAATAATAAACTTGCTTGACTCTAGAGAAATAAAAACCAAACTTTGCTTTCTAAGACCATCGCTGAACTCAGATTAATTCAGGAAATAAAAGTCTGAATCCTCATGATCCTCACTGATTTCTCTTTGCCTTGCAGGTGCAAACTGCCCAAGTAGAGCTTCACTGGACATAACAATTACGACAAGCTGCTCAATGGGGAGCAATGACTAACATAAAATGTCCTTTAAGTTATTTAGTCTTATTTATGCAAATCACTTTAATTATATTAACTCACTCGACCACGTTAATAGACTGGTTTAACATGACAGGATTAGGCTTTCATCAATGTACAGTGTATAAATGTGTATGATATTGCATTCATTATTTGCGCGCTGAATGTGTAGCATATACAATAAAAGATTATTTTTATAATTCCAAACTGCTGACGTCTTTGTTTCTCTGATATTCTGCTGTTTACATCCAGGTTAGCCCAGAACTCTGCGTTCAGAATCAAAGTGGTTCTTCTTCTTTCATTCTTTATTACCAATGTCTGAGCAGGTCTGCGTTGAAAAATTTTGAAAAAGAAGGCCTCTCCACATTCATTGCCACTTCTATAAGAAGTATTAATTCATAAAAAAAATATACATATATTTTTTATTTATTTATTTTGTAGCTTTAAAACAATCTTGCACTGACAGTTTAGAAAGAAAATATAGTTTTCAGTTTGAAATTTTGACTTAGTAAATTTACGCTGCTGCCACGAGTCTGCTGGAGCCGAGTGAAGAACGTGGGTTCACAGAGGGGAGCTCTGTGCTCGACCGGGGTCTGCAGCCCCATGAAGGAGCAGCGAGTAAACAGGCGGCACTTTGCATGAGCAAGGGTCCAAATGGCTGCTACTGGGGACAAAAGGAGTCCTCAAACACGCATGAAAGAATCCAAGAAACACTCCAGGTATGTTTGTGATGAGAGAATAACATTATAACGTGATTTAAAACAAACAAAAAAAATGTTTTCCAGCCACATAGTGCCATTTTATAGCTTAATCAGCAACTAAGCTAACTTTAGTTGTCATAAAAAGTCTATATATTTATATATATATATATATATGCCCTTTTAAGTCAAAAATGACAAGAAGAAAATATCTTAAGTAAACTTCTGCAATCAGAGAGTTGATTATATGTAGGAAATAAAATAAAGTCTTGCTCAGACTCAAAGAGCACACTAAGACAGACTTCTTAATGGAAATCTGAAGAGTGATCTCTATTCAAATCTAAAATATGTCTCCTTTAAAACCCCCAGAGCCATGAGGAAGCAGCAGGGTGAGGAAAAGACTCCGAGCATCTCCAAAACATTTGTTTTTCTGTTCATTTTGCTGTTGAAGTAGAAAAAAAGGATTGATTTTCATGTGGGTTTATAAAATTTCTTTCCACAACAATGCTTCCAGTCGATAAAATGTGAAGAGGAAGACATGATGTTGGTACATTCCTGTTGTACAAGGCTCTTAATTGATTTTTGTGATTCATTAATAGGTCAGACATTGCAGTATCTGAATGCAGTCATCTCTGTCGTGAGCGCAAAATATTTTGAACTTGAGGAGCAAATTTGTTTCTCTTTTACTTTCTTTAAATAAAAAAAAAGCCAAACTAAAGGGAGTCGGCTGCTGCTGGCTTTGACAAAAGGAAGAATTTTGTCTCCCTCTTCTTGTAGAATTGGAGTACTCCTATTTCTTTTAACGTTCCTGATGTTTACCTGAGTTGAGCTCTTTATGCTAATGTTTCATATAAGCAACTGTTTTAATTGTATAAACGAGCTAGTAATATAATCTAATTGTTGATTTTTTTTTATATATATACATTTATGACCAAATACCTTTTAGGAAACTAAAGTTTGATAAGAAACAATCGCAAGAATAACTAAAATTGTTAGCATTTGCAAAGTGGGACTTCTTAAGCTGTCCATCTTAGAGAGGCCTTAATAAATATAATGCAAACCAAGAATACTTTAAAGTGACTCCCACTTAATCAAAACATTGTTTAGCAGTTAAGAGGCAGCTGTAAACCATCTTGTGAAAATCCCCAGGGTTCATAACTGCATCTTTATACACAAAATTACAACTTAATTCATGAGGAAATCCAATCAGATCTTCATTTTAACACAGAACGTGCTTTCTAAAATGGATACTTTGGAGACGACATTGAAATTCTGACCTTTCGTGACCTTATTTGATTTTCAAGCTGATTAATAAAAGTTTGGATTGTGAAAGAATCTCATGTGCTCAGACTGACGGATTTCTGAAGTTTTTCCTCAGTCAGCCATTTCACCTTGGAAAATTTAGCTTATTGAAACAAAACAAAAACCTGTTAGAGAAGTTTACAGGCTCCAACATTTCATCCCTACAATGAGGTATGAAATTTGGCTATTAGTTTTAGGGGCGAATAAACATTCGGTGTCACTTTTTTTTTTTTTTTTTGACATAAACCTGTTTAGTTGTTTGTTTCTTGGTTCACTAAGTCTTGATTTCAGCTGTGACTTTCACATAGTTACCAACAAGAAGAGCACAGATCCATATTGGTCTGGGGAAACATGAGGCAAATAGAAGGAACCAGCAAGGAGTGAATGAAACAAAAGTGCTTAATTACTGGGAAGTGTGATTGCTGGAACAATGGAGCAGAACTAATTACAAAACTGATGCAGCTGTAAGGGAAGAGCTGAGGGAAAGAGAAATAACAAAAGAGAGAAAAGAGACAAAAACACCAGCAGGAGGAGGTGAGGAAACAAACTTAGCCACAACTGGACACAAGAAATAACCAGCAAAGATGAACTTACTAAAATAACTAAGAACAGAGTGAACTAAAGAGAAACAGCCTAATCAAAGGGGAAACAGAAAAATAATAAAAGCTATAAACCCAGAAAAATCCAAACCACCCAAAGTCCAGACATATGATGGTCCTTCCATATTGCTTTTTTGTGCCTTTTTGAGAAGCAAAAACTATTTTATTTTAAAATTCAAACCAAATTGCGAGTTTGTGGTTAGTTTAATGTCTTTAACTCATTATACTTCCTAACTTGATTTCTCAGAAAGATGTGGAAGGAAACTGACATCTTCAATAACGACTTTCACTTACATAAAAAAAAAAAAAAACAATGTGAGAATATGTCAAAATATGTTGACGGGAAAATATCAAGACCCACAAACAACTTCAACCAGTGGTGGTTCAGAGTAGCAGCAACAAGATGATGAATAAATCCAAACAAAACGTAAAACACAATACAGGACACCACATTAAATACAACAACCAGGCAGAACTTGACGATTCCAGGAAACATGCTCATCGTCTCAGCTGTGGATTTGTCACAGTGACACTCACTCAGGGTTGAGTCTTTACTGGCTCACAGTTTCCCCTGTGAGCCAGTGGGCCTTTTTAATTGGCAATACTGTGAATATTTTGTAGTAAAGGTGTAAGAAAGGTGTCTTTGTTCCCCCTAAAAAGACTGTCAGCTTGGTCAGTCCCATGCATAATGTGATGTCCCTGAAGGTCTTGCTGCCTTCATTTCTAGAGCATTTCTAAAAAAAAAATAAAAAAAAAACCCAGAAGATTTAAATGTAAAATGACAAAAGGCAACAAACCCAAGCAGAAACAGTGGGTCAAGAAACGACTCATCCCATGGGTCTTTTCACACACAGGGTTGCTGCAGGGACCCCTCTGATGAGGCCGATGGTGGTCAGAGGCCTGTTTATTTACAAAACCCGATAACAATGAGAACATCAGGCTGAGGTATCCTATCGCAATTGTGTGAATAAATTTTAATTTCATGCATGTTGTTCCAACATTAGGCACATTTGTTGGCAAATTGACAAACAGTTGCTGACGGGATGCGAGACGGCGCTCCTCTGTATTTTTAAAGACCTAAAAATATCTTAACGTGCCACTGAAACCTTGTCTCACTGGATGAAGATCATCGCATTAAGCTCCATTCATCAGCATTAATAACGAGTCAGCTGGCTGCATGTGCTGCTGGAAGAGGGTCTTTTAGGGCAGCTGAAACAACAGGTTCAGTTCCTGGAACGTACAACGTCTATAAATTAAGACTGAAATATCTCTGGTTGGTTTTATGTTGCACAAATTGTATTTTTGTTGCATTATTTCTTGGTTGAAGTTTCTTAACAACTTTCCTGTGACATGGTTAAAACCAATATTCATGTGATTTTTGCAGGATGTAGCTTTATTGTCTTAACCAAAAAAATAAAACAGACTATTACGTTGTTTATCTTTACTCAGAATTGCTGTCCATAAAACATCCTGTTTTAAAATATAAAAATAAATCATCAAGAACATAACAAAGCCAACAAAACCAATAGATCTAACAAGTGTCATTACTTTTTTTTTTGCAATAAAAATGCCTGAATACTATTAAAAACATACTTTACTCAGTATAATTTACATTTTAGTCTTCAAATACATTGGCCAAATACTCAATCTGTACAAATACTGAACAGACTCAATTACACACTCACACAAGACTGAGCTTGAGCTTTTCTTTCTTAGAAACATTGAATTAATTACACCGCAGTTGCCACATGTTTCGCATCTGCAAACTTTTATTTGTATGGTTTAATAAACAAGGGTGTACGACTTAATTTACAAAAGCTGACTTCAGTCTCAGTCAATCTCCTAATCGTTCTTTGGATTATGAATTTTTCACCTAAGACAATGAATGATTTTATTGCAATTTAAGAGAAGAGAGGAGGCTCTGGACTTTTGTCAAAATGAAGGTGTATTTCATTAAACAAATGAACTGCACATAGTCAACAAATACATTCATTATCATCACATCAACATCTATTTCCTACTGATGTATTTAACAGAATATAAATAACATACTCCACAATTTTTATCCTGCCAAAAATAGGAATAAAAAAAAAATAAGTCTGAGAAATTATCTGTGCCAACTAAAGGTTTAATTTTAATCAAAAGTTGTTGTTTTTTTCCAGAATCAAACTGTGAAGCTGTAATATCTAATGCTATTTTTAAACAAAATTAGGAGAAGAAAAACAATGAGTTCTTCAGTGTTCCTGTCAGCATCTTAGCTCATCAGAACCTCCATAGCAGTAGAATAAAGAAGCTGAACTGCGGTCCTGAACTTGTCGGATCAACTCTTTGTGAAACGGACCGGGTCTCCAAGCAAACAGATGTCTGAACCAATTTGCCTTTCTGTGTCAGGGAGATCTGGCCCAGCTCCCTGGATGGTTTATGTGGATTGTTTCCCAGTTTGGCTCACGCCAGAGAAAATTTGGATTTGAAGTAACTCAGAACCCGTAGAATGACGCTGATCAAAAAACCACTGCGGAAACTTTACCTAAATATTACAAAAATTTAAAACACTAACCACCATTTAAAACTAACTAATGATGAATTATTTTAGAAATATTTTGGAAATTATGTAAGTTTTAATGTGTTCCTAGGTGGCTTAATTTGGACTTAATTTATTTTTTCTGTTTTTTTGGAGGTTGAGACTTTCTTCACTGCCTTGTCCATCAAAATACCAAGACTGCTTCCAACTGATGTACCAACGCCTGTTCTTTTGTTTTCTTTCTTTTGCTTACGTTTTATATTATTTTAGGAATAGACCATCAGAAGATTCATTCAAAAACAAACTGATAAATAGATATATACAAGCACAAATTGATCATTAACCACATAATTTGCAAAACTGTACACGACTCTTAAGATGAAAAGATTGTAGGCCATCTTCTCAAATGCAGAAATGCAGCCTAGAAACTTTAAAAGTGTAAAAAAAAAAAATCTGAAAAAATGTAAACAGCTCTGACGTTATTTCACAAGCACAATCTCAATTCTACACCGAACATTTTACACAAAAACATCACCACAGAACTCTCTGTAGTGTTTTTAAAGTCTAGATTTTCTACATGCGTTTCGCTTTTCATGTGGAGAAAAAGATCCCAAATTGACGACCCTCTCTCTCACAAACACTTTTATACGTAGTCCTCCTGGCAGAGCTGCCTGCCATTGATCATCGTCAGGCTTGCCACAGAGTGATGTGTGCTGTGGACTGAAGTCATGCGTGTGTTATAATGTGTTGGGCTCTGTGGGGAGTGTTTGAACGTGACATGACAGCAGCAGCACAGCTGCTGGTTGAACTGCTTCTTGAAGCTTTTGCTCAGCAGGTAAAGGGCAAACGGGTTCATGCAGGAGTTAGTGAAGGCCAGAATCCGAGCAACAATGCTGAACACAAAGTGACCCAGAGACGTGTCCACCTGGTGGAGGAGAGAAAGAAACGGATTATGCATATGTAAAGTAGTGTGAAAAGGTATTTTGTCCGTTTCTTCGCTTTTTTTTCCTTTTTCTTTTACACCTTAGTGTTTCATATGTACGTGTCAGTCAAACATGCTGAGACTAAATACACTTTTTTTTTTCCATTGTTAATTTTAATTGTTCCTATTATGAAATCCATCCCCTTAAAAACTAATTATTTGTTTGTGTTTGTCATTTTGGAGCAGCAGGACTATAGTGAAGCTTTTATTTAAAGACAACTAAAAAGTGTTAGATTGAGACCCAAACTGAAAATCCTCAATGAGAAAACCAATAAAGGCTCAATCAAACTTTGTAAGTAACAATCCTGACTAGCTATAACGGAGAGTTGAATTAAACTCATATACCACAAATACTGTATGTACACAACACCAGTAGTCACTGGTGCATTTGTAGAGTACATTGATAGAGTAGGGGAAACAATTCTGGTAAAATATGACTTAAAATTACTGTCTTCTCAGAGATTTTTCTTTTTTTCACTTCATTTGAGAACTTTATATGATATATGTAGCATGTCAGGTGAAAAATATAAAGAACTGAGCCCACTTAGCTTTCTGGAGAATATAACCTCTACTTTGATACCAACAAAACCTTTCACTCTGGCAAGATTGTCAAAAACTTGTTGACAGCAACAGGAATACATTTCTAAAACTGAATAAATACAACAAAAAGATTATAATTAGGCAAAAAAGACACCAAAATTAAAACATGAGCAATTTAACACTGACAATTAAATCAGACCAATCTTGAACAGTTCATAAACTCACAGAAATATTTTCTATAGAAGAAAATAAATAGAAGCAAAGAAGTAACAAACGTTACAGTGTTTAATTACATTTGTCCCATTTTTCCATGTCTATATTACAGGGCTTTATGAAAGATTATTAGAAAATGAATCGAGAGATTTTGCTTATCTTATACGGTTTGGTGCTCCAAACAGATTTAGGTCGGAAACTTTAACTTAATGCAGTGAGGAAACTGTGAGGAATAGATTTTTAAAGAAAGGAAACTGCAGAAGATTTAAAATTTTACCTAGACCTAAAACAATGACAATGTTCTTCATGGTTACCTGGGAGTAGTGATAGGAGCGGTATAAGTAGATGACGTGACTGGGCAGCCAGCACACAGCAAAGAGACCAACGAACACCAGAACCGTCTTGGCCAAGCGCTTTCTGGATTCAACCTGTCGATTGAACGAAACCGTTTCACAATGTTATCGAGGAATAAAATACATGCCTGGCATTAAATGTAGATTTTTTTTTTCCATGGTATTAAAACAAACATAAAACTAATGGCAAGAGGCACTTAAACACAGCTTGCTGACATTGTGTTGTAATATATTTGTATTTTGAAAGTAAATCCAAAACAGATGACGGAAATTAGAGGTATAAAGAGTATAATGGTAAAAAGGCAGTATGGATAGTTTTCCTTTGAGAACGACATTGAAGTGGTGAAATTTAAGAAAATGACACGGACATTTTCAGTTAGCTGTTGTAAGGAAACTGCAATCAAAGCTTAAACACTAGCCTGTCGTCGTGCATGGACGTTCCCCTCCATGGGAAGGCTGGACGCACTCTTGAAAAGGCTGCGGGCGATAAAGGTGTAGTACACGCTTATCACCAACAGGGGGATCACGTAAAAAATGAGGAAGGAGGCCATGGAGTGGATCTGAGGGTGCAGTTTCCCAGCGTGGGGGTAGGGGGCGCAAGTGACAAAGCTCTCGTTTGTAGAGGTCACGTTGAAGGCGTGGAGGTCCGAGTACACGGCCTCGGGGATTGCCAAGATGAGGGAGAAGACCCAGATGAACGCCGCTCGCAGGACAATGCTGGCTGTGGTGGTCGATTTCTGAAGATCAAGGGGTTTCACGATGGCCCTGTACCTGATTAAAAAAAAACAGATAATAAATATTTTTAATTGTTGATTAAAGCGATTTCAGAGAAATCCATGGGAGCACGTAAAACGCTTCTCTCATTCTTTTATTTTTAATAGTAGGATCAAATAGCACTTTGAATGTAGCATCTGTAATTTTGTTATACTTGCAGGTCTGTTGTGTACAACAGTAATAAAGCTTTCTATTGCAGTCTGTTGCTGTTCTTTGTGCTTGACAGAATACATGTTAGATGTAAGTAGGCTTGGTTGAGCTTTTGTATGGGCACTTTTTCATTTTGTAAGTGCTTTCAATTGCAGGAAAAATGTATGCCACTTCCTAGATATGTATATAAGAACTCACACCTCTATTTTGACTAAATTAGTAATTCACCTTGAAACACCTAAAAGTGTGTGTTTTTTTTTTGTTTTGTTTTTTTTTCTAAGCTGGAGAATAGGAATTTATTTTCTGAGGCACATATAAAAAACTTTTTATACTGGAATACCATTCTTCCTCTCTATGTGGGGTATACTGTATGTGAGTAGCAAGGTGGGATATTGTTGCTTTTTGCCTCTAAGCCACTAAAGGATATAATGATACAGCCAGTAAAAACAGAGCACTTTTATGATAATCAACACAATCAATAGCACAGCGATCAGTCCCTGGTTCCACCATTCTTCATTTATATCAGGACAACAGTGTGACCTGTGCCAGGCAGCCTGAAAGAGAGACTTCAATTTACCACAGCATTGGAGAATAACTTTGACATACATTCTTTGTTTTTTTGCATGCTGACTGCCATAATAGTAAAAACTTGCTCAGAAATACCATTTGACTGACATGAGAGGAATGGATGGCAGTTAATTTCCCCTTTTGGGATTAATAAAGTATTTTTGAATTTGAATTTGAATTTCCAGGCTATTTGAGGTCCTGACAATGTCATGAGTGCAACTTCTTAATTAGCTGACATTTACACAGCTGAGTGTCTGTATTTGTGCTGCATTTGCATAATCACCCTGGCCAGTTCAATGCATGACTTGTGGTGAGTTTGGCAGAAAAAAGGTGATAAGCTTCAGCATGGAAAAACCTACTTCAACAGCGATGCTATTCAGAAAGTATCACTGGGAAGTACAGACGCTGATCCAACAAGCTTCTTCAGGGAATTGTCAAAACACTTTTACAATCGTTGTATGACGTCTGTCTAAGAAAAAGCACAATGAGCCTGTTTGATATTTGTTAAGGAAACCATTTTAAATATGACAACGATGCAGAGATTCATATTCAAAAAGACTTGAGGTGTCATTGTTGCCAAATGTGGATCAACAAAGTATTGAGCAAGGGGTGTGAATACTTACGTAAATGTGATTTATTAGCATTTATTGTTTGTGATAAATTTGAAAAAGGCACAAAAGCTTTTTTCTGCATTGTCATAGTTGAGTATGTGTGTGGATCATTTTCAGGAAAGGATTAATTTAGTGTGACTTATGGGTCAAGGCTGTAAAGTAATAAAATGTGGGGCAAAATGAAGCACTGTGGATACGTTCCAGATGCACTCTCGAGCTTAATTTCATCTGCCATTCAATATTGGTGAAATAAAAATGTCACCAATATTTTTGTGTGGTAAAAATCTTTACAAACAACAAAAAAGGGAAAATGAAATATATAAAATCTACATTCAGGCGGAAACATTTTATGTAATACCATGTTAAATAATCGGCCAGTGGGAAATGAATGTATAAAGGGAAGATAAATAGAAAATCTCTGTTGTTTTACATGTTTTCTATCTACGTAACGAAGTTTGAATGTTATGATTCATGTCCTGTCCATGCTGTGTTAAGCACTCATTCAGTCCCCCTGCCACACCTGATTGCTTACCTGTTCCACCTGGGCCTTGCCCTATCTAAACACCCCTCAGCCTCTGCTTCCTTGCCAGATTATCGACAGCCACGAGCCAGTAGTGATCCAGCGTTTCATTCCAAGCCTTCAAGTGTTTCTTCGACCCTCCTTCTGACCACGGATTTTCCCCTCCTGCCAAGCCCCTCACGGATCCCTTCTATTCTGGATTTCTGGACCCTGACCCAAGCTCTGCCTCTTGACCACCGATTACTGCCTGCCCCTCAAAACTAAGTTTGTTCTCTCTGTCCTCCTGTGTATGACCTCAGCCTGATACTTGACAAAGTCCCTGGGTGTCGCATTTTGGATCTCCCCGTGGAGATCTTCATTGCCTCCTCAGAACCCTGTTCCATTGGTTTCCTGCATCTCCCTGTCATCGGACCCTCTGTTCCTCTGCTCCGCCCGTCCATTGCTCTACAGGTCAGTTAAGCTGAACATTTCTCAGATACCCCTCCTTTATCCGTGCATCACCAGTCTTCTCCCCTCTCTCCTCAGTGCTGTGTTGATGACCTCTCCCTGTGCAGTAACCAGTATAAGAAAAAATAAACTTTTTTCCTTTTTGTATACTCCTGTGTGTGGTTGAATTTCCGGGTCCCCTCTGAGTGTCCTTACATTGAATGGTTTTTTGTTGTTGTTTTTTTTTAATATACCTGTGTGTAACCTGTTCCACAACAAAGAAACACAGTCAAACACATTTTTTTTTTCTCCCGTGACATTGCTGGATCAAACCTGGAGTTAAATTTAAAGCTAATTTAATCAGCTAAATTTAACCAGCCTGTCAGCTGCGTGTTTGTCAGTACTGAAAGGTTTAGAGAGAGACCTCCATAACGATGAACCTGAATCAGTTTTCAAGGCACTACGCAAATGGCAGAAAAGGGAGGAAAAGGCTCAGGCACAATTCACTGAATGAAATGCTCTGTAAAAGAAACTATGGTGATTTTTTTAAAAACTGGAAGGAATGTCTAATTTACGTAGATTAGACATTCTATGTGTTTAAAGAATTGTCCAACAGCTTTGACTCACACATTTTTTATTTATTTAGTCATTACATGTTTAGTTTAGGAGTAAATATGTGAAACGTGGCTCAGCAGCATCACTTAATTACTAAAAATAAATAAGTAGTGACCAATTTTCTGTTTGTGAACTAAAAAATAGCTGATCACAACATTCAGCTGATCAATACTGAATGTTTGCTTAGACAACGGATTTCAAGTGAAAACAGCAGCTTACCTGTCGGCAGAGAGGGCCGTGAGGGTGAACACGGACACCCCAACAGAGGTGAGCTGAATGAAGGGGATGACCTTACAGCCCACTCTCCCGAACAGCCACTCGTCTGAAAGGTAGCGGCTGGCGTCCACCGGAGCGCATGTCACCAGCAGCAAAACGTCCCCCAGCGCAAGGCTCGACATGAACAGATTGGGAACATTGCGGATAGATTTGGCCGAGCAAAACGTCCTGATGAGCGTGATGTTGCCGATGAGTCCCAAAACGCTGATGGCCCCGTAAACGGAGGCGATGGCCACGCCGGCATACCACATCATCCGAGGGGAGCTGCGCGATCAAGTGATGCTGCTGCGCGATGCGTTGGAGTGAATACTCTCCATCTCTCTCGCAGTCACAGAATGCAGAAGAGATAACAGGGAATTATGTTCTCGTAATGATCTTATATATCCATGGAAATGAGGGGGGGTAAAGCTCAGTGTCCAACTTTGGAGATGTGCGCATGACTTACTTTCAGAGCGCGCAGCCACTAGGTGCGCTCAAAATAAGACAAATTAAACATTTGAATTTAATTTACATTATGTATCATAGTATAGTTTTGTTGTTGTTGTTGTTGTTTTTTAGTTTAATTAACTCCTGTTATCCAGTGGGTGTACATAGTTGACGTTATTGAGGCCGAATGCTTTGTGGTGAAATTAAATTAACTTTTGTTTCCTGTTATTTTATTGATGCTCGTTTCTTGGTTTAAGTTTTAAAAGTTCATTTCACGTTGACATTTCAGCTCGATTTACTGCCTGTACTTCTCTAATCAGCGCACCTGTTGCCATTTATTTATTTATTTATTTATTTATTTATTTATTTATTTATTTCTGGATGTGCACTCAAAGGCCACTTTATTAAGTAGCCTACATCTCGCTAATACCGGGTGGGACTCCGTTTTCCTCTCTCTTTTTTGCCTTCAGAACTGTCTTCATGGCATAAATTTAGCTATGTGTTGGAAAGCTTCCCAAGGCATTAAGGTCAGTTTTCTGTTCTTAGCTGGAAGATGTTACATCCGGTGAATTCTGGTGTTGTAGCCCATTTGTTTTAAGGTTTAGATCAATGTTGTTCTTCACCACGTCTAGGTGTCTAAGTGCTTTTGATGACACCCTCTCAGTTCTTTTCCCTTTTTCCATCCCATCTCATGAGTTTTTTTTTTTTTTCATCCTCTTCCTGCAGTCACAGCACCACTTAATTCATTACTCTACAGTGTTTTCTCTACACCAGGACTGCATGCTGCTGTTTTACTCCCATTATTATTGATAGCAGACAAAAACAGACGTCCACTGCATCCATCCATCCGTCCGTCCATCCATCCGTCCGTCAGAGTTAGGCTTTAAACATGTTCCTTTTTTATTTTAGCAGCACAAGCTAACACTAAAACCCCTAACCTGTTCAATCAGTTAACTGATAAGGTTAAGTTTAAGTAGATAGCTATTTTCCTTGACTTGAAGATTGAGACTCGTCTGCCTTATTTGAATGGTATGTTCTCTTGTCTTTCCAATTTTGGAAGTGAAATGTCTTCTATGTGGTGTTAATTCTACACAACAAGATAAACTAACACACAGTGACAAAATACTCAAGTAATGAAATGTTTTAAATGAATTTTAGGGATAGCACTTGGTCTTGGGAATTTTGTCAGCAAAAATGTTAATACTTTATAAGATATGAGTTTTTTACAGTTTCAATTGATCCTAAAATTTGGATTTTCTTCCTAAGTGTATGAGATTATTTTAAAATAAAATAAAAAATATTAATTGTTTTAAGGCTTTTACACAGTTTCTACATGCCAGTAAATGTGCATGGGGCCGTTTATTTTTAAGTTTCTCATTACATCTTCGCACAACTTAGTAATACCGAATGAAACTTTATTTCTGTGACAGTTGTGTTTGACTGAGAGTTCTGGGCTAACATAGATCTACTTTTTATTACATTTATAGTTAAATATTTACAAAAATAAACAAGATTGCGACATCAGTTTTAATTTATATTTTACAGAAAAGTTTTCTATTGACAAGTGACAAATGTACAAATATATACTTTCTCCAAACTCAGTGCAGAAAGGTACCATCCAAGACTCAAACCATCTTGATTCCAAGCAACAGCACTAACAGATGCCCCACCATTTAACCCTCCATTACTCAGTAAATGTTAATGGTAATTTCAGAAACTATCTTTAGTTTCAATTTTTTTTCTTTCTGATTTAAGCCATTTTTAATCCTTTATTTTTCAACCTATTGGATATCTGTACTCAGTGCATCATTTGAAACATTGACCAACATTTTCTGAAAGTGTCTGAGACGTTCCCAAAAGAGTAAGTGCAGTTATTCTTTCTTAAAGTGACAGAAGATGAGGGATTCTAAAGAGCAAACAGTCGAATTCACACCCGACATACGCTCAGCTGGTCTCTCTAGACAGCATTACGTCTGAATAGATATGTGGCTGCTGCAGGAAAAAAAATGGCTCTCCACAGGTGTAAGAGATAATAAAGGACCTCTAAACCTTCAGCAGCAGGTCATGAAAGAGAAAAGTAATCCATGAAACACCTTTTTACATTTGCAGCGAAACACTGATGTAATAGAAAACGCTCGGACATAAACACAAGTCAATGACTCAGAGCAGGAGGATAGCAATGCCACTTGGAGAAAGAACATCTATAATCCTGGATTATTGCTATGGTTCAGGGGCGGATCTACTGGGGTGGCATGGGGTGGCAGTTGCCACCCCAAACGAGAGCCTTGCCACCCCTGTTGCCACCCCAGCTGGCGACAATGAATTCAAATAGTTATGGCAAATAGGACATTAAGCGCATGAAACTCTTTTTTACGACAACATTGAATGTAACACAATGTAACCTGTTTTAAAATAAGCACAGGATTCCTGACATGGTATATCTGGTACTCAGCCACTGCTGAGTAGCTGGATGTGCGAGAGAAGGACAGAGCGCCAGCAGCATTGATGGATATATATATTACTGGACTGGACATTAGTGATTTATCGTAAGTCACATATACGTCATTGCTGTCCATTGAGTCAGGAATATCGGTGGTCAGGAAAATACTACAATCGCGCAAATAATCATAGCAACGGACGAAATGTTTAGCAGTTAAGTCAACCATAGATAATGGTAATAAGGGCTTGAGATTTCACAGGTGAGGAAAACGTTTTAATTTTAAAGAAAATATTGAACAAGTGAGCAGTGGGTCAGTTATACTAGCCTAACTGTTGCTGGCCTCGTATTAACTTTGATAGCCTTAGCATGTGCTGCGCAGTTCGGTGTGTTTTGGTTCCGTTAGCACTAAACAACCCGCCCACCAAGTCATCAGTAGAGCAGCTGTTTAAATCAGCTAATCAACCACCGCGGTGTTCAGGCGAAAACTTATTAATAATCACAATATAGACATTAAGCCTGACAACATAATGTAACAGACTGGATGTTCTGTTTTAGTGTTTTTGCTACTTTTTTGTGTGGGAAATGTTTGTTTTTTTGGTGTTGATTCCCCGGATCGGTAATCTCTGCTCTATCTGCTCGTTGAGCTGTTGTTTGTCGGTTGCCATGGCAACGGGTCGTACGTAATACCGACATACAGAGCGAGGAAAGGCGGAATAGAAGTTGTTGGAGCTATTTTTTCGTCATTTCTTTATCCATTTGAATTCTGTTACTTTATTCTTACATTTCTATTTTTTTGTATTATTTACAGAGTTTATTTGTAGGTTGATAACTGTTGATGTTTTATTATTTTTCTTATTTATTTTCTAAATTTAGACAGGAAGTAATGTGGGTCGGTCCACTTTCTATAAGTCCAGGGGCCTGATGAAGGACCGGCAGGCATTTGGGTTTGGGGCCG